TGTTCAGTTTACATCTAGGTTCTGGAAGAAGTTCCACGAGGAACTAGGCACTCAGTTGCATTTTAGCACGACGTACCACCCTCAGACAGATGGCCAGAGCGAGAGGACGATCCAAACATTGGAGGATATATTGCGAGCATGTGTGTTGGATTTTGGGGGGAGTTGGGATACGTACCTTCCACAGGCAGAGTTTTCATACAATAACAGTTACCATGCCAGTATCGACTGACCTCCATTTGAGATGTTGTATGGTAGGAGGTACAAGACTCCGGTTTGTTGGGACGAGGTTGGACACCGAGTCATGGGGAGCACTGAGGTAGTACTCAAGACTACCAGGCTGATTCAGCAGGTGCGTGACTGGCTGCGGGTCGCGCAGAGTCGATAGAAAAGCTATGCTGACAGGCGGCGATCAGATCTTTAGTTCCAGGTGGGGGACTTTGTGCTACTAAAGGTGTCGCCATGGAAGGGAGTCATCAGGTTTCGAAAGAGGGGCAAGTTAGGGCCCCGATATGTTGGACTGTTCAGTATCACGGCCCAGGTGGGTAAGGTGGCTTATCATTTAGATCTACCGGATGAGCTTAGCCAGATTCACAACACCTTCCATGTATCACAACTTAGGAAGTGTGTCACAGACGAGACCGCAGTCGTCTCTCTGGACGACATTCAGGTGGATGAGAGCTTGAACTACATTGAGAGGCATGTTGCGATTTTGGATAGAAAGACCAAGATTCTTTGGAACAAGGAAGTAAAGCTGGTAAAGGTGCAGTGGCAGCACTGAAGGGGCTCCGAATAGACATGGGAGCCGGAGGATGAGATGCGAGACAAACTACCCCGACTAATTTGGGTCAGCAGACTTCCAAGACGAAGTCTAGTTCAAGTGGGGGAGATTTGTAACACCTGTTCCAGGTATTAGTTAATTTATTTAAGTTTTATGGTTTTGGTGCATGGACTCGGCGAGTTGGGAGTCTAACTCGTCGAGTAGAGAGATTTTGGGGGACGCGGGATCGGGACCTACTCGACGAGTCGGAAGGCCCGACTCGGCGAGTAGGAGCTGTAAAGAGAAACCCTAATTTTTAGGGTTTGCACCCTATTTAAGGAACATAACCCGCCCCCCGTGGCCTCCTTTATCACCATACTAGCCAGAGAAAACCCTAATTCGACCTTACACCATCTTGAGAGAGAGAGAGAGAGTAAGAGTCTTATGAGTGATTTTTGGGGCATTTATGAAGGAATCTAGAGCTTGAAGAGGAAGGAGCAAGGGGAGGAGCAGTAGATCCAACATCTACATCATATTGGCCAGCATCCTAAGGTATAAAGTCGTGAACTTGATCTCTAGTTGCTTAGATCTCTTTGCTTGGAAGTAAATGGCCATTCTTGGTGCAAAATGGAGTCAAAATTGGATCTGGACTTATCACAAGGATTGGGTTCCAGATCTGGACCTCTTTAGGTCCCAAATGCCATAAAGTTGCTTCCTTTATGCAGTTTAGTCACTTTCCATGCACAAAAACCTTGTAAGAAGCCTAGTTTTGAAGTTATAGCCTTGAAGGACCTTGCAAGCACGTAAAGTTTGCAACTTTACGTGGTATCTGCACTAGGAGATCTTGGATCTGGAGTTTGGGACCTTAGATCCCACTGAAAAGGGCTGAACTTGAAGAAGACTAAAGGAACTCGTCGAGTCCCTTAGCTGACTCGACGAGTCAAGTAGGGTTTACCCGTTTTCGGGTATCCCAAGTGATTTCGGTTTCATGAGTTTTCGGTTCCATGAGTTTTTGGTTGTCATGAGTTTTCGGTTGTCATTAAGTTTTCGGTTTCATGGGTTTTTGGAGGGACTCGGCGAGTTACACAGGTAACTCGGCGAGTGGATGAATTACTCAGAAAACTCGACGAGTTGCTGGATGCACTCGAAGAGTTGAGGTCAACATGGACTGTTGACCTTGACCGGTGACCTTGACTTTGACCAGGGTTGACTATAAGGGCAATTATGGGATTAAGACATGTTAATCACATGGTGATTATAGGCAGTTAGGTTGGAGCAGCGTGTGGGACATTTCTGATTTAGCTTGTCAGTTCGGCATTCGAGAGGTGAGTCTTCTCACCATACCAATGGGTCTAAGGCACCAAGGCCGGACCATTTTATGTTATGTGGATTGATGATTGATTATGGGTTATGTTAGTATGACATTTGCATGGAAGACTACGTGGGGGTTCCCGCGACATTTGGTATAAGACCTTGGAGGGTTTCCATGGCATCCTAGTATATCTGCATCTATGGTTTGCATTATGTCTTGTTTGGTAGTGAAGACCTTGTGGGGGTTCCTAAGGCAAGAAGACCTTGTGGGGGTTCCCATGGCAGGAAGACCATGTGGGGGTTCCCATGGTAGACAGTAAGACCACATGGGGGTTCCCGTGACACTAGGAGTAAGACCCTGGAGGGTTTCCATGGCGCCCTTATATGTTGTATGCATGGCTTATGTGGTAGAGATAACTTTTATAGCTAATATGATATGTGTTATGTGGATTGTGTGTGGGGGTATGCTCTGGGGGACTCACTAAGCATTAGCTTACAGTTGGTGGATTTGTTTCAGGTACATCTGAGCCTAAGGGCAAGGGCAAGGCGTGATGACGCGGCGTGCACTCTCACTCGAGCGTTTTTATGGGACACTCTGACATTTTGAAATAAAATTGTAATTGACATGAATTTTGGAAACAATTGCATTTGGATTTTGTGGCTTATGGAAATGTGATTTAACTAATCAAAAATGAAAAATTTATTTTGAAAAATTGGGTCGTTACATAAGGCGACTTGATCCACACCCGAATCCGATCGACAATTATTATCCGCCTGAGGATTATCCTCACCCCTAATTAATTCTACACGCTCTTCCAGGATTCTAGGAGACTTTTCGCCTCCCCATGTAAGAACTGCCGCTTAGACTCCCACAGACCCACCAGCCACCGGAGGAGGACGATCTCCCCGATCACCACCATGACAATCCGATATGCCCTGCCCAATTTCCCTTCTTCAAGATCGTCGTTCATGCAGGTCTCCGAGATACCGTCAACATTATCGATATCATCATTTGAGTCCAAAGGTTCAGACCTCACAATTGGTTTGAATGGTGTCCAGTCATTATCAACCTCGAACACCCCAACTCGATGAGACACCCCGCTAAGATTAACCACCAATTCGTCGTTGATTCTCCTCTAGAAGGCAGACAAAATACAGACCTTTACCGTGGAAATGTCAATGTTTTTCCAAAAGGAACCCGAATTCACAAGAACTTTTCTGTAGACACTGGCGATGGAGGAGAAATTAACTTCATCCCAGGCATGAATGGGGACCCCCGTGATTCTAATCCAAGTAATCCGTTCAAACCTGACAGCACTCGAACACATATATTCAACCCTAGAGAACCATTTTAACAAAATACTTTTGCTCGCCTTGACACCTCTGCAGCTCTGCATGATTTAAAATTGACAGCCACCTGCATGCCGCCAAAATATTGGCATTCCAAACACGTCGAAACCTTCCAGAGAGAAAAGAGAGGGAGAATTGCAAAGGATGTCAAAATCTTTTGCCTCACCCACCAGGACGCTTTTATCAGCCGACTCCTCAATTTCCTTTATGCCCGTGAGCATAATCGCTGGCGGCGAACGGGGAGGAGTAGTGATAGTCCCCGGCTTCCCCATAATGACTTCTACAAAAGATCTAGCATCTCTAAAGGTTGGCGGGGACAGAAAAAGCACCGAACGAGACGGGCTTCTTAATGGGTGGTGGGGCCGGTAACTTCGGTTGCTTTGAAAGGTTTGCAGAAAGCTTCATTCCCCTGATAGAGATCCCATTAAGACCCTTTTCTATTGACACAACGTCGTCTACCGAGGCGAACCTAACAAACGCGAAGAAGGAGCCAGAAACATCTCTACGCCCAGCAATATATATATGTCAGCCAACCTACCAATTTTAGAGCAAGGTCCCCATAATTCCTTCCTGTAAATGTCTCCCGGCAAATTTGAGACGTAGAATGAGGTAAGAGAGTCGTCGCTGACACCGCCTGAGACAAGCCTGACCGTGGACTTCCGGCGCCGCTCAACTTCTTTCCACCCACTCGCCATTTATTTGTACTTTTATGGCATGTTTAAGTGTGTAAGTTTTATGAAGAAACTTTTACTTCAACAAATTATTAATAATAATTATAAGTAAATTAAAAAAATAACAAAGACAACACATTTATTTTAGATCTTGGACAAATCATGAGTTTGAAAGTAATTAAAAACGATCATAAATAAAAAAAACAAAAAAAAAACAGTTATTTCAAATCTGGGACAAATCATGAGTTTGAAAGTAATTAAAAACTGTCCAAATGAAAAAAGAAATTGATTGAATCAAACCTAACGAACGATTCGTGTAATTTCCTTTTTTTTTTTTTTTTTTTTTTTCAAGATCAGCCCAAATAGATGATTTGTGTAATTTATTTGTTTTTTTCTTGAAAATGAGATGGAGATGAATTGTCCATTAATGTATTATCCAAACTTGATATGGTGACGTAGTTGAACCAACATTTATTGAATCGATTTCAGTTACGTGCACTAATACAAGAGATCACATGTGTTTTGAATATAAAGATTCAACGTATTCACGGTATTTTTGTTTATTAAAATATCCTCCGTATTTTTAAAAGTATAGTAAAGGGAATACACTATTGTATATCAAACCCTTATATGATAAGCTGGAAGTTGGAGAGTAATCTTTTGCCAAAAAAAAACTCAACAAATACCAAACTTAAATATTAAATACTAAATAAATCCAAACTTGTTACACATATTTTTATCTCTCCTGCACTTCTCTCTCACCCTCTCTCTCCATGATTCCCCACCTTTCCTCCAGCTCAGAACATTCACAATTGCCTGCCAAAATCTGCTTTACTCTATCATTCATATCAATCAAATCACAAAGGCAAAAAACCTGCTAAAATCGCGTTTTTGATGTTGAATTGTACCTGATGCCGGCTATAGAAGATGCCGGCGACGGATTGCCGTCTACGGCGGAGAAAACCCTGTTCGGAAAATACGAGGTCGGTCGTCTCCTTGGCTATGGAGCCTTTGCTAAGGTGTATCACGCTCGTGATGTGCAAACGGAGAAGAGTGTGGCAATTAAAGTCATCAACAAGCAGAGGATTCTGAAAGGAGGCCTTGCTGCCAACGTCAAACGCGAGATCTCTATTATGCGCCGGCTGCGCCACCCTAATATCGTGCGCCTTCTCGAAGTGCTTGCCAACAAGAAGAAAATCTACTTTGTATTGGAATTCGCAAAAGGAGGCGAGTTATTTGCCAAAGTTGCCAAGTCACGTTTTAGCGAGCATCTCAGCCGTCGATATTTCCAGCAACTCATCTCAGCCGTTGGGTACTGCCACTCACGCGGCGTCTTCCACCGAGATTTGAAGCCGGAAAATCTCCTCTTAGATGAGAATTGGAACTTGAAAGTAACCGATTTTGGATTATCAGCTCTGACGGAGCAGATCCGACCCGATGGACTCCTCCACACGCTTTGCGGGACCCCTGCTTACGTTGCACCGGAGATTTTGTTGAAGAAAGGTTACGATGGTGCAAAGGTGGATATCTGGTCCTGCGGCATCATCTTGTTCGTCCTCAACGCAGGTTACCTTCCGTTCAACGATCCGAATCTGATGGTGATGTATCGGAAAATTTACAACGGTGAATTTCGTGTTCCCAGGTGGACGTCGCCAGATCTGAAACGGCTTATATCACGTCTCCTCGACACGAATCCTCAAACGAGAATCACCGTGGATGAAATAATCAACGATCCTTGGTTTAAAATCGGTTACAAAGAGGTCGAATTTCATTGCGATCATCTCGAATTGAAAGACGATGACGATGACGGCGATTCCGCCACTTCCACCTCTACCGGCGACAATCTGAAGGTAATGAACGCATTCGATATAATCTCCTACTCGTCTGGATACAACCTGTCTCGGCTGTTAGATGATCGAGAGGTCGGAGAACGGTTTCTTTCTAAGGATTCGCCGGAGAAAATCATTGAGAAGGTGGTTGAGGTAGCGGAGGGGGAGAATTTGACGGTGGTTACGAGAAAAGGGTGGTGTGTGAAAGTTGTAGGAGGGTATAATTGTAATTTTGTAATGGCGGTGGAGATAAAACGATTGACGGAAGAGCTGGTGGTAGTTGAAGTTAGGAGAATAGAGAGTGAGGTAGGACCCGGTCATCAAATATGGAAAAATAAAATTAAACCGGGTTTAAATAATTTGATATATAAAACCGGACCCGACGGATGTCGGTAACTCACTCGTATTCAGTTATTGGCCATTTGGCCCCATTGGCATTGTTTCCTTCTCGTTCCTTTCCAAATAGTCTTAATCTTTAATTTTTCAAAACTTAAACAAACTAAACATAATATAATTTCATGTTAATATTTTTTTTTATTTTACATTTACGTCTTTAATCTGATGACGAACACATGTTTTTTTTTTTTTATTCAAAGACGGTATTTATCATTTATTTAATACATCATGACGTTTAGAAAAGGATAAATTTTAATCATTTTTATGTATCTTCCCAAATCCCAATGTGGGTATAAGAAGTCTCAAACGTCATTTTCAGGCTTTTTATTTTTATTGAAGTCCACATGTTTGAAAAAAAATTGTTTTTTTAATCTATTTTTTATTCATATCAAATAGTAACAAACATCATATTTAATAAAAACTAGAAAGGTTACCCCGCTACGCGGGGCCAGAAGCTTTCAATGTTGTTTCCGAATTGATAAATATGACAGACATAGAAAATGCAAGGATAAAAAGTCCGGGTTTTGCTCCGGACAAAAAATGTAAAAGTTTTGACTGCAATGACCAAAAATGTGAAAATGGCTAAAAAATTAAAGGGGTATGAATTAACAACTTTTTAAAAAAGGGATCAAAGTTGTCAAACCGTTAAAGTTTTGTGGCCAAACTTTAAATATTAAAAGGTTCCAAAAAAGTATAAAAATATTGATTGCAAGGACCAAAAATGTCAAAATAGGTAAAGAATAATGAGCAAAGTTGTCAAAAAACATCCAAATTTAGTATTCCTAACTTCGAACAATAATACAGGGACCAATTCTGCCAAAAAATGGGAAGTTGAATGGAACACAAACAAAAAGACATGAATAAATTAATTAAAGAAGTACAGGGACCGGATATGTAAATCAGGGGGCCAAAACTGGACAAAGTATGTCAACTTTACTATTCATTTTTTCCACAACTTTAATATATATATAATAATAACAGTATTATATAATCTTGTTATCGTTTAAGATTTTAGGAAGATAAATAAAAAAGAAAAAAATTGTAGAAAGAAAAAGTTGACAAGTATCAAATTTAATAAAATTAATAATATTTTGTGAGATTTGTTACTATTTAATATTGTAGGAAG